CCATCAAAATTGTCATCCCAGTATTTCTTTTCTTTGCCGGAGACGGCGCTATAGTCCTGCCCTTCCACAACTACGCATAGATTGTCTGGGAATGAGGTGATCTTGGTTCTGCCGGCACGGATCTCGCCTGTCTGGGCCTTGGGCGGAGGAACCGCCTCGAGGGAGGTTGCAAACTTGTCTTCTTGAGCTGTCATGCGAGATCGGTAGGAGCCCCAGTACCCAAACCGCTCCGTGAGGTCGATCAGCTCGCCACAGTTACCGAAGCCCGTGGGCTCCCATTTATTGCACATGTACATCGCTCGCGTGGCAGGCAGGCTGACCGTCTCGCGCCAGAACCCAGCGCTGTCAAGGGGGAGCGTCACCCAAAACTCTTGCACCTCGGGCCGCTCCCACCAAGCCTTGAAAGACTGTGGAGAGTCCCAGTAGCTCATCCAGATCTTGGAAGGCAGGTCATTTTGTCCGAGCTCCTCGACTCGCAGGGCTGCCGGCTGGATGAGGGCGTCAAAGCGGGAGATAAGCGCTGCCTTGTCGGGATTGGGCTCGTCGGCGTGATATTGGCAGCCGAAAATCGAGACAGTGAAGTGGTGGTCGGTGCGGAAGCGCGATCGAATCATGTTTATGGACGCGTGTGGGCTCGAGTGAAGGGTTCGTTCGGATTGTCGTCGAAGGCATGTATTGGGATAGGAAGGGTAAGAATTGCGATGCCGGGTGAGTCGCGGGTAGGTATTATTTGTATAAATTGATGAATCGGCGAGAAGGGTCATACGACTCTTCGCCTGTACTCCGTCACGAGTCATTATACTATATGTACATGTAGGTAACAGCAGGGGGTAAGACGCCACACTGCCCCCTCCCTCCAGTCATAAGCGGAGAGTTGGTGAGCGGAGGATTTTACCCTTGTGAGCAGGCAGCTTGTCAGTCTAGACTGTTGTAAGCGAGCTATAAATCCTCCTGCGGTGTCATGACGACAAGTGGGAGTACGAGTTATGGAATGTGGGCTGCTCAGCTGGGCTGACGTCTCCTCTGTTTGGTGGCACATGACGAGGGATGTAAGCACCTACCTATCCCTTTGAGTGTGCGAAGGCGACCTCAATGTATTCGACCTACATGCCCCTCATTTAGGTCGGTACAAGAAGTAACTTTAACCCTTTCCCTACGAAAAGACGTGTGTAATGTAGCTATATGTACCTGGCAACATCGTGACGGAAGGTTCTGGCCAATTGCGGTGGCTGGAACCTTGACATCAGCTGCAGCCACAGGCTCAGCCGGCGTTGACATGGCCCATAATGCAACGGCTAAATCGAGCAATAATTGGCGTCGGCTCCAACGTGCTGCGATCAATGACCGTCTGGATAGATATGGCCAGCTCAATCGGTGGCAGGGAAAGGGTTGAGATGAGCGCGGCGGGGGACGGAGCAGCAGGAGCAGGAGCTTGAGGGTCAGGGCGGTGTCGCTGGAGCTTGAGCTCTTCTTGGTTGGACATTTTGACTTCCTGATGCATGTTAGTCGACGGCAGCAAAATCCCAGGCAATTATGCATGTACTCCTTTGTCTCGTCGCCCTAGCGTGGCCTCATAGCCCAGCTGCAGGCGTCATGTGTTGATGTGATATCGTCTTTACCGTCAGAGAGGGCCTCCCCGAAGTCGCTGATCTCTATTCTATTGGGGGCAGAGGATCGATAAACCCGATGTTATCGTAAGGTGGGGGAGAGTGAGGATGCGTAACTGGACGGGAGTGTTGCTACTCCCAGTTTGCTATGGTGTGGGTAAAAGTGTAGAGCAGAAGTGCTGTAGGAAAGAATATCAGCCCAGTGAATGAGCTGCCCGACACTGGTCAAGTCGTCGGCAACAGCTTGTGGTTCTTTGCCTACATAGGTAGCCCTCAGGAATATTTCTCCTGTTTGCAACATCCATATCCTTGTCTCAGTGACTGGCTAGCCTTGTATCAGGGTCTACATAGTGCGTTTCATTGGTGGCTTTATTGTATGTATACAAGGGAAGGACGCCAAGCTGCCGTCCAACATGCCTAACTCGCCGGGCCATGAGGAGCTGCCCTTGGCGGTGGACTACTCACGCCGTTCGCACTTCTACCTCATTACTATAAACACCTTCTGCCTAGCAGAACTTTCCCCCGGGAGAGTACGGATAAACTCGCATCCCTTTTATTCATCACTAGCCTCTGGGGTTCCTTCGGTCTCTTTGGTGGCAGCGACCTCTGCAGCCCGCATAGCCTCTCTGTGTAGAACATCGGTAGCAAAAGGGATAAACTCCGCAATGGTTGCGTCGTCGATCAAGTTGTTGTCCAAGGCTCTTTGTAAATGTGCAAAGATCACTTCCATTGGAATCCTGTCGAGCACTGCGTCGATCTCAGCCGGTGAAGAGGAGTTTACATAGGCCGCGGATTCAGCAGGTGAAAAGGTGTTTTGCTGTTGAGGCTTTGTGAGCATGATGTGTGTGCTATGAATGACAGGAACTTACGCGGTCCCTAGCAAACCTTTCAATCGTTACCGCGTGGTTGTTGATGGAAAGATTTGCCAGCTCATTCATGGCAGTCCTCGCAAAGTCACGGTGCCCGCCTATGATCAAAGCCTCGCCAGTGTGGTCAGGCCATTGTTCAGCAGGGCGTTCCCAGGCGAATGTGGCCGTACTGGACAGTCTGGCACGACAAGAATCTTCAAATTCAGCACGGGAGATACTGTAGTGGATCGAGCTCGCCCATAGGACTCGTCGGCGGAATGATACGGGCCTTTGCCCAGGCTCTTGTTGGTTGGGCATTTGGCGTTCTGATAAATGTTAGCCGATGGGACAAAGAAAACCACGGACAAGTACTTACTCGTTCTGTCACGTTATCACAACGTGGGAGTGAGTGATGATGCGTGAAGGGACAAGTTATCGATGTTCGTCTTTTGCTATGGTGCGTGGATGAAGGTGCAGAGTAGAGGTGCTGTTTGCAGCCACACGTCATGTCATGGCCTGGACCCACGTTGCAGCTGTTTGCAAAACAGCTTTTCCAAAATTCAAGCCCAGAGAACTACCTAGCTACTACCCGAGAGCTGTGTGCTTCATGATTGTAATTTCTGGAAATTGCTGTGCGAACATCTCATTGCAGTGTGGTTGAGATAGCAAAGACAACAATTGCAAACTTGTATCCCAGTTAACACGATCTACTGTAAGATGAATGCACGGGTTGCAGGTGGATGACTACCTTTGCCTCGCGTAGCCTTTGGGATTAGAAGTCGAGTTACTGGCACCTGAGTCCTGTGAGCCCCGGGTCTAGAAAATCGATCTACCAGTGTCAACTGGCAAGGTCTCATGCCCTATTGCACTCGTTCCGAGAAACACGGTCCCAGCCAGCTGCCAAAACGTTGGTTTTTACATTGCAAACGCCAATCTATCTCTGCACTTCCGATTCCACTTCCACTTCCACTTCCATTCTTCCATCTTCAACGTCCAGATTCACAACACCAACGAGCGTCTGCAATCCCGCAACCAGCAATCCATCATCTCATTTCGCAAGGGTATGCCTGACCAACCTACTTACCGCTGTATACGAGTGTCTGACGTTCTTCTACCAGAAAAGAAATGGCAGATAAGTTCGAGAAACAGCTCACTCATTACCGCAAACAAAGGCAGCTTCTGGTCGCGCGCTCACTTCATTTTCGCACTACGCGTGTAGCCATTGAGGCCATCTGCCGCGCCAAATTATCCCAGCCAGAGACAGCCCGATTCTTGTGGGAGCCGCCTCAGCAACCTCATTATCATCATAATGGCATAGTCTTTATCGCTTTTGAGCGTCAGGCAGATTGCCGTAGAGCCCTTACCGAGTTCCAGGATCTTGCTGTACAAAATCGCCCCGTTGTCATTCAAGAAGCCTACAGATACTACGTAAGTTTTCATTCATCGGCCTGACCAGTCTCCTGACAATTGCCAGAGGAATACCGTTGCCGCTCCTGTCGCTCCTGCCGCTCCTGTTACTGTTCCAGATCGGGTTCCCAGTCCTGCTGCTGCTCCTCCGCCTCGTGCCCCAGCTCCATCTCCTCCCGCTCTCGCCCCGGCTTCCTCGGTCGCCCCCGCCGTCGCCGCCTTGATCGATGCCCTTCCACCTGCTGAGGTGGCCGCTTATTTCGCCGCTCGTCCGCCGGCTGAAATCGCCACTGCTTTGAAGACGGCCATTGCCAACAATAAGGTGGAACTGATACCCGTTATTATCCAGCTTATCAGTTCCCTTGCTGAACCTGCTCGCGCTGTCTGCAAGGAGGAAAGAGGGCGATGAAAAGAGAGGGAGGGAAAAGATATCGTCAGTTCTATGATTGAGCTCAGAACAATGGATCACCTTAATTAATTCACTCACAACGGGAACGTAAATCCCAATACATGTACACCCGAAGCTTGCCTCATTTATCGTTCGTACGAGTCCCGCAATCCGCACTACGGAGCGCACATAGATGTAGGGTCCAACGTGTGAAATTTCTCGTCTCCCCGCGACCATGGCACCCAGTTGGCAAGCCTTCTATTACGTGGACCCCAATACAGCGATTTGGTCAATGTCCCTCTTTGTGCACCAGGACCGGCGCCTGATGACAGTACAAACCAGCCTGGCAACGGCACAAAGACAATACAGAGGGATCGCTTCATCGATTATAGTTGGAGTGATAATTGTGATAACTATTGGGTCCGCTCATGGTGAAAACGGATCAGATCGAGCATCACGGCAGCATCATTCCATAGTGAATGTGTCGCACAGCGCGAAGCTTGTTGGTGGAGGTTGGAAAAAACAAAAATACAAAAAATACGAAATAAAAGCTTCTGCCTAAACCATCCTGGTGGTGCCACGCTAGTGGCGGGTCGGTGGGGCAGATCTGTTGGCGCCCAATCAGCTTGCAGCCCGCGGGCGGGGAACCCAGCCCTTGTGGGGAAAAGCAACCACACCACCTCAGGATGTGTCCAACATCACCACACATCATCACCAAACTGAATACAAACGCAAAACAAAAAAAACAACGACCCTGCAGCGACTCGAACGCTGAGTCTTCTCCATTAAGGTTATTAACCGGAAAGAGATGCCTTAACCATTAGGCAACGCAGGGTTAGTTTGCAGTCTGTTGAGGCGACAGGAGTGTTAACTTACCCACAAGGCCACGTGTGCGTACACGTCACTGCGTTATTTTTACATGTGACTCCTATCATCTCTCAGAGACTGATGGGAATATGGCTCTACGAGACGCTCAGAAGCAACTCATTCCCTAACCCAGGTGACATGTGGGATATAGGGCTACTGTCAACCTGTCCACATGTCCCTCAAGCATAGCATGTCAAGGCCTCTACCTGGCTGTACAACTGAACAGGAAGAGCAACAGGTAGATGGCCCACGTTTACTCACCATCTGGTCACGCTGACTACGTCGCAGCATGGCCAACAACTTCGTACCTGAATCGCCGACTACACGGCCTCGAAGTCAGCAGAAATTTGAGGGCCCCCCATCACGGGGCCTTGACTCGACACTACGCCCGATGTCCCAATATCCAGTCTCGCAATGCCAGCAAGCGTAATTCCAACACCAAATTTCATCGTCGATGCAAATACGAATCGAGCCAGTTGTGGCAAACGCCGACAGTAAACAAGGCCGCATGCCATGTTCGACAATGTCTCGTCTTGCAATATGGCCCCTCGCATTGGTGGGCGCGCTCGAATTACATGGAGACTTTACAGCACCTTGATCATTGATCGCGCGAGGCAAAAGGACAGTCACAAGACTGTAGACTTTCGTCTATCCAATTCAACAGAACGCTGTTCCCAAATGAACATTGTGGGTGGGATACACTACTTTGCCAATGTCCCTCAGAGTACATGCCTATCTGCACGGTTGCACGAAGAGCTGCTGGATGGAGTGCTGCCATCGCGCCGTAGCATCCTTGCATCCATTCGAGCAAGTCATGGGTGGGCAGCAACCAGTCCCAGTATGACATCGCAGGGCCCAACTTACGAGATTATCGTTCCTGACTTGAGTGCCTACGTCTCATCATGGAGCATTGACTCGACAGTTCATCCGATGCCTCAACAGGCACCACCTGGCGTAACAGGCGCGGGAGATGCGCGAAAGTGATGAGATTCTGCCCGTTCTAAGCTCAACAAGAGTTATGCCATGCCATCACACCCCAGGGACATGCATGATAGCGCGCGACTGGCACCCTGGTTACCTTTGCTGGCAGGGGACGAGGAGAGGGCATAAATGGGGAAATGGGAGGCTGGAAGGTGGATGTTCAGCCACCGAGATAAATATTATATCCACGCTGCATCGTAGAGCCGGGGCATCCAGCAATGGTGGCCGAACCGGTGAGTAGTCTGCCCTGCGGTTGCCACGAGTTTCATGCATACAGAACTTGCGCTGTCATGATATATGAACCCTGCCAATATGGAGCCTATTCATTCAATCCACCAGAATCCACCCACTTCCAGTTTCTTCCATGAGAAATACCTGTCCGAGGATTGCAAGATCGAGTGGGACGCGGAGGCTGCGACGAACCCCCCATACGTTGAGCGGCTGGCTTGTGGTTTGAAGAAGCGGGGAAAAACAAGCATGGAAGACCACTGTTCTATCGTTTCATCCACGACTCTGACCTGTGCAAGAACGACGGGGCCGAGGGTCGTATATATAACGGTCGATGTTGGGAAACACGATTTCGTCTCGTGAACTTTGCCGCGTAAGCCTGTGGCAAGTTAGCTGGACTATAGACATGACGGCTAGGAGGGTGAAGGGACACAGTGAGCAGCTACTATTGAAAGAGGCGTACTGGAAGTAGGGACGACACTTACTTCAAGCAATCAAGGCCACAGCGGTAGGATATTCCATCTCCTCGTCGGTGACCCTTCTTCGTGGCAGAGCTAAAGCTCCGACGACGATGAAAGAGAGAAAAAAGTTGGAAAATGGTCAAAAAATTGGAGGGCAGAAAAAAAGGTTCTGCAAGGTGAAATAAATTCACCGACGACGTGGAGAAAGCCACACAACTAGTGGGAGAAGCCCAACGAGCGAGGCTCGGGAAGGATGACACAATTCATCAGACAAGACGCGCAAACAAAGAGCGACCCTTGCGGGTGGCGCGTAGGCCAAGATGACACGGTTCATCAGGGCCACACAACAAGTGGGAAAAGCCCAACGAGCGAAGCTCGGGAAGGATGACACAATTCATCAAAACCAGGAAGAAGAAGTTGAGCGAAGAAGGGGCTGAGTGAAGAAGGGAGATGTTGGAATAGAAGAGAAGATGATGTTGTAAAAAGGAAGGTAAAAGAGGAGCGGGTGAACGTAGAGAATTTATGGGCCTAAATTTTGACATGTTTTGTGGGTGCGGCCCTAATTTTGGACTAGTAGGGCTCGCCTGTGATGACACCTCCTCCTAGGAAGGAGCTTGCCTGAGCTAGCCTAGAAGGCCCACTTCGTGAGAGACAAGCTCTGCTTGAACCCTCAATGTGAGCGTGAATGTGAGAGTGAAGTAAAAGAAATGGAAGTGGAAGCTGTTCGCATTCAGATGACGTTATGACCTGTTGGCCCCACGTTTTTACAGTGCCAAGTTTTGCAGTAGGGTACGGCGGCAGTAGAATTCGAGACTCCCAGGTATCATCAAGAAGATGCATTCCCCATTCCTATTGCTACATGGTAGGATGTCAGTCCTGTTCGCAACTCATCCTGTCAACTATGCTTGATGTCACCGAAGGACTACATTTTGTTTCTAGAATAAACATGGGTGGTAAATTCTATTGCAGATATCCGCTTGCAGTCTGAGCTAGACCGCGTTTGCGGTGTCAGGTGCCTTATTGGTCTTTTGACGCATTGAAACATATACGACGTATAGCGCGGCACATTTCTTGAGATATTACATTCGAGGGGCCTTGGAGCAAAGTAACCCAGTAGCTCTATCTCGCACCAACCACATTAATTCGGAAGCAGTCCATTGCTACGGCAAGCGAACGAGTTTACTATTCTTCCCTTTGCTAAATATTATTGCCGAACGACGCTGCTGTCACGAGCGGAATACTCGAGGGCTTAGCACAGAAACGCGAGCTACTAATTGCCGGCGACTTGACCGCTCTCGGGTAGGTTAGTAGTTCTCTGCAAAACGACTTAGGCACAGGGCAACCAGCTGTAACGTGCGTCCAGGTCATAGCATCACGCGTAAATGCAAACAGCACCTCCCTCACTTTTACTCTACACATTCATTCACACACCGCAGCAAACGACCAACAAAGCTCCATGCGTGTACGCGTCATCACGCTCACCCATCATACGACAACGACACAAAGCGAGTACATATCTGCTCGTGCTTTTCGTCATCTCAACAAAGGCCCTCGTCTGCTTCGAGCAGAAGGAGACAAAGGAGCAGAAGTATAATAACAAAGCAACTACTCAGACAGTCATTGGCACCACTCCAAGCACCAACCCCAAGCTTCTACAGCAAAGATACACGCCTAAAGCTAATCTACAGGTCACTACAGCTTCAAAACAGGACATTATATATTCAGCGAATATTATCAAATCACAGTAACCCAGTCGTATTACTTCCCCAAGCCCGGCCCAACCGTTTGCTAAGTAAGCTTATATATCTATCAGGGGTTCGAATTCCTAACATCCTCCAGCGTAATACCCATGGTTTAGCCCAAAGCCCAGGAGAAACCTGCTGCGATAATACTACCTACCCCAGAAGTGTCTTCTAAGGCCAAGGCCACGGCAAACCATATAGTGAACTATATCAGCACTGTTGCTACTGCTATCGATGGACACACTGATACTAACGGCATGCAAGCCCTTAAGAAGGCCATGGCCAATTTGACGGTCACCAATAAGGTCAGGCCACCGCGAAAAAGCCGACAGAGAAAAGACTGAAGGTTGCGTGGGGTATTCCTGTGGATTCCCGTGTTCTTCGCCAAATATCTTGCACAGGCCATTGGGGCAAGGGTATTCTTCGATGGGCTGTGTTATTACGGCGTCGGACACGTTAGACATGCCACGTTCGTTCGGCTGAATGGCAGCTTCAATCAATCACCTCACATCACAGCACTACACCAACGCGATTGTGACAACATACCGTAACCAGTCCTTCTCCGACCATCATATATAGATGTCGTATCAGAGCCAACGACAGGAGAGATCAGATATGCTCATGATATGCATCGTTGCAAATGAAAGTATGACAGCTCTAGAAGCTTCTTGCTTCGTTGAAAGACGAGTGTCCTCGCGAGAATGGCCAAAAGGAGGTTGTCAATGCATGGCGCCTGTCTCATCTTGCCAGTCTTCTCTCCTGTTGTGTGAGTTCTCTTGCACGGTTTGGGAGAAGCACCCTGCGCAGCATAGAAAAACCAACCAACCCACAAACCCAGCAGGACGCTGTTACGACACGTCACTCGTAATGGCCTTTGGCGTCGCCGTCTACGCCCTCGACGGAAGTTCCGGGATGACCCTCTGTGCTTTTGCCGGTGTTTTGGTATCGCATTTATCCTCATCATCGCCCCCTTTCGAGACAGAGTCATGCTTCAATCTCAATGGGGGTGGTGATGAAAAGCATCACCAGAGAAAGCGTCTCTTCAAAGCTGATGTAACGCATCAAACCAAGTAGAGAAGAACGTCTCTACGTAGGACAAGCCTAGCCCAAATAAAAAGAATGAAAGCCTCGCGGCTGCATTAAAATAACGGACCTTGCGGCCCCTTTTCTCCTTTTTCTTTTGTTCCCCTCCCATTCTTTCTTTCTCTCTTTCTCTCCTCCTCTTCTTCTTCTTCTCCTTTTTTTTTTTTTTTTTTTTGCCTTCTCTCCCTTCACTCACTCGCCGCATTATCAAGATTCCTCAGAGGCCTGTTTTCGGCCAACGCGGGGTTGCGAGTGTTCTCCATCAGCCGAGTGGTGCGTTTCGGTGGTGACGAGGGCGCACTGATGGGTGGAGGAACAAGGCGAAGTGGCAAGTTCGTCTTCTGGCCATGATTGCCGCCGGGCTGGGTACTTCTCGGGATGTTGGGGTTCCTTTGAGACAGGTCTTTTGAGGACGGGGCAGTAGGAAGGGGCGGCGGAGCAGGTGGGCGGCAGCAGAGTGTGCATTATGCATGA